GAAACCTGTGCCCGGCCGGCACCCGGGGGGTCCCCGCCAGGCCCCCTCCTTTCGCTCCTCTTTTAGGGCCACCGCTGCCCCGTTGCCGCTAGACTTGTATTTGATACAAAACGCCCCTCTAATAAAGGTGGCTCATACTGAGCGTGTTGCAGCGTTTCCTGCTTGCAGTAGGCCAGGAAATTCCCTTCTTTCTGTCCCTCCTCGGTGAGCGGAGAGCAGAAGTGGGGGCAAAGCGGGTCTCCCCAGTTCCCATCGTGTCCCCATGTGGGAGGGCAATAGGAGCCACAAAACGTGCCCAGGAAACATCCTTAGCATTCTCTTGCTGGCATCAAGTCCTGTTACTTCTTGGCATCGAGTCCTGTTACTTCTTGCCTGACACGTCCCGTCTCTTACTGTTTGCCCCTCATCCTCCACCTCTTTGGCAGTGAGCTCTGTAAGTGGCGTCCTGTGTAATTAATCCCCTGGGCTGTTACATCGTCTCGGTAATTAGCGCTGTGCGTATGACTTGTCTTTTAATTAACTGTCACGTATATTTTTTTACATTTTCTCTTCATTCATTCCTTAGCCAACTAGTTGCACACCTGCTTGAATAATTCATCTCATCAGAATGCAGTGTGTGTTGCTGAAGTTTTTGCATATTTATTTGGCATTTTTGCGTATATGTAGGTTTACTGCATCTTTGGCTCTTTCCATGAGAAGTTAATAGATTAAATTTTACTTTTCTTTGATTCCAACTAATTAATGCCTAAGTCTACTACTCGTTGCTCTTTTCTACTTCTCTTTCATATGTACAGTGTTTTCTTGAGTTTTTTTTTCCAAGTGGCACTGTGTTCTAGTACCTGGAGATACTAGTCACTCATTTAAGTTGCCTGACTTCACAGTTATTGTCATCTCTGTTCTTTGCCCTTTTTTGTCTTTATTGTATAATGTTTTTATTTCCATATAAATAAGTGATATTCCATGTGATATTCCATAAATAAACTATCACATTTATTTCTTTCTGTTTTTCATATTAAACAGAGAAGGAGGGTCATACTATAAAACCTCCGTTCTTCTCGGTCTGATTGACCTCTCTGATGACTCTAACTGCACTTACTTGAAGAAGCTCCAAAAATAAGCAGGATAACTGGGATTCTTAGTGAATCAGTTCACGTTATCATTGAGCAATATTGATACCATTTATATATGTGTGGGTGTCTGTGTGCACGGTAGTTGGGATGGATGGTCTAGGCTGAATTCTGACATAATGTAGGCAATGCAAATTGTGTGCAATATTTCCTGCTTAGTAAAAATATAATTAAATGAAATTCTTTGGTTTCCATTTTAGGTACAACAACCTCCGGAAATTAATTTAGTTCTGCGTCCTCAGGGATTAACTGGTGATAATGAAGTATACGCCAAAGTTGATTTATGGGTCAAATGTCCACATACTTACCCTGATACGTGAGTGAACATTAAGTGAACATTAACATACAATCCTTTTTTTTTTTTTCTGAGTATTTATCTTTGTTTTCCATAGTAAATTGTAAGCTGAAAAATACATAGTTTTATTCACTGCTGTTATTCTTGCTGTCTGCATGTCAGTATTAAGCCTGCAGTATTTTAAAGTAGGTTACAGTAAAACTGTGCACCTGACGTGGATGTGGTCCCTTGAGCAATGGACAGGAACAGGAATGCTGCTAGCAGGAGACCTGGTGGCCCCGATTTTTTGCTGGAGGATACGCAAGGATAGGTGTACCTTTTAGCAGCTTAGTGCCCTTTTTCAGCTCATGACCTATTCTGCTCAATTGGGGACTGAATCTTCACTTTTAAAACTGTCTATTGTCCTAGTTTTATCTGCTGTTCCTGTTTTTTTTGTTTGTTTGTTTTGTTTTCTCTGAATTTACCTTTTGGGGGACTAATGACAGTTTTCTGTACAGAACATAGAAAGGCTTGCAGGTGATCAGGACCTTCCTTGTTTTGGGTTGGCAAATAATTGTGCAGGTCAATGTTGCTCTGAGAGCAGAGACCAAAATGATTCATTGAGTTCTTCTGGCACTGGTTGGCACAACTCTCACTAGCCCATCCATTTGTGCAATGGCCTGAGTGGTGTAAAAAAAGGGAGTGTAATTTCTCCCTTCAGGTGTTATTCATCACTCTTCAGGTGATAACTCAGCTCTGCCCTGCAACACAGGATGCAGCAACCACTGTAATTTTTTATTAATGCTAGCGTAGTTGCAGGTGTTCTATTTGTTTTTATAAACATTTTTTCCTTTTGTTGATATTTTTTGCAGCATGTTTCATTATATTTGTGTCACCTGTATCCTTGTAGATAATATACTAGTAAATAAATCTTAAGCACATAAATGTTAGAACACTTTATAATATTTTTAAAGGGCTCCTGTATAGATTATTAGTTGAAAGCTGAATTATAAGAGACTGCAGTTTCTGTTTTTTATGGTAGACCTCCTGTTGGGTATAGCTATCGAGCAATCTCCAGCCAGAAGAATTAACGCTAGTAATTATGAAATAGTTGTTTTATTTTATATTTTATATGTAATATTTATGTACTGCTTATTTGATCATTGTCTGATTGCCAGGTCACTGTAAGCTCCCAACTATTTTCCTCACCCTTTAAATCTCTTATCAACTTTTTGTGTCTTACACAATTACTTTCTACAATTAACTTTTTTAATGAGGTATTTTTTTCTGTTCTCTTTTTTGTGCTGTTTTGTTTCTTCTGCCAGTGTTCCTGAAATAGAACTAAAAAATTCAAAAGGCTTATCAAATGAGAAAATAAATGAATTAAAATCTGGGCTAGCAGAATTAGCAAGACAGCGCTGTGGAGAGGTAAGAGTTTTTTAGTTCTCTGAGAGGTTCTAGATAGTTCTAAAAAAAACAAGTGGGGCATAATACAATCAAATACACCCACATTGGAAAAAAAGAGTTATACTGTTGCTAGGGACGGAGAGAATTACTTTCTTTCTTAAGAATGTTTCTGATTAGTGAGAATTCAGAGTATGCATGCCCTAAAAATGCAATACCTATGTAAATATTGCAATTTGTATCCTTGTTTAGGGACAATGAAATAAGACTTATTTCATGTTATGAAGGGTCATATTAACTCTATAAAATTGGGATCTTTCTGCCCCTTGCATTTTAATTTGAGTATTTTACATGGCTATGGGCAGTTTAAGGAAGCAATGATTTCTTAGACAGTTTTTCACTACCTGGTTCATCTAGCGCAGAACCAGAGGTAAGAGATCTCTGTAACTTTTGCAAAGCCAGTGCAACTAGCTGCAATATTTTGCACTGAAATTAAAATATTCCCTGGCCTACCAAGTCAGCCTACTATCTGTATACTACACTTCTCTCTTGTTCATGAATTTTTGTGCAGGTAGTTTCAAAAGAACTATTTTAGCCAGACATTATATTATTCCAGTTCTGTTTAGTATCAAAGAATTTCCTCAAAAACATGTTGGTATTTTTGGAAGTGAACAGTTTAACAGTGCACAATGGATTTTTTTCTTTGTTTTCATAATAAATGTGTGAAGGATGACTGAGAGCAATAGTTGAAAGCACAGAATCGTTAAGGTTAGAAGGGACCTTTGGAGATCACCTAGTCCAACCCCATGCACGCACAGGAACACCTAGAGCATAAGGTTCTAAGTGCATTTTGCAGTATGGTAGGTTTAAGAATGCCTCAACTACTTGACAAATTGAACAGTGGATGGATTTTTTTCTTTTAGTTATCTAGATTCCTTCTCCATTTTTTTTTTTAAATACATTTGTATACATGCATGCTTAGCTTTCTTCCAGAATGGTAATCAGAAAGATATTTTACTCCGCACATGGAAGATATGTGCATATTCTGCTATTCTTTCTGTTCCAGATTGCCTTGTGGCTTCTTTCTTATGTGCAAGCAGGGAATTCAGTGTAGGAGGATTTACTAAATGTCAGTCCACTACAGGAGATACTAAAATTTGGTATGGTCGCTCTCCCATCTGTGCATGGAAATTAAGCCCAATGCTTCTAATGATTCTGCTGGGACAAATCTTTTTAATGCACTGTTGATTTAATTTTGGAGATGTGGTGGTCTATTAGTTCTAGATATTGTGTAAATTAATAAGGAGATACCACTAAACTGGTGAAAACTCAAATCCCAACAGGTCAACAAGTCATCAGTCCACACCTAATTCAAATAAGCAATAACTCAAAATTGGTTGCAAACAAGCAAACCATCCAATAGGATTTGGATGAATTTTTAGTGCAGTTCTTGTTGTGGTTGTATGAACGAGAAGTTCCTTTAGTGTTTTACAGTTATAACCATTGGTCTAGTTGTAGAGGAAAGATTGGATTCAATATGAAGCAGTGAAATAAGGAACTTTTTCTTGGCGGTATGTACAATAATATCCACTTGCAAAGTGATAATAATTTTTTGTAGCTTATATGTCATAACTGCATATCTTTGCAAAAATACCCCTAACACAAGGAGATGAGAATGGGACTTGGTTGGTTGCTTTGTTTGTATGAGAGAGGATGCTTGAACTTGGCTTTCTTTCACCATCACTTAATTTTCACCATCTCTGCTACCACAGTCAGTGATTTTTCATGTCGCAGTTCATTAATAAGTAGTTCTGACAAAGATATACTGAATTATGGTAAATTCTAGTAAGTAACAAAATCAGCAGTCACACCCTACTCCTGCTGTGTTATTCTTAGAAGTTGGTTGTGATTTACTAAACTGATCTACTTTTGCGTTAAACTGTTTTGAGCATTGTGTGCCACTCATCATCTTTCAGGTTATGATATTTGAACTTGCAGACCACATACAGTCATTCCTCAGTGAGTATAATAAGCCACCTTCCAAGTCCTTTCATGAAGAAATGCTAAAAAATCATCAAAAGGAACAAGAAAGACTGGCCCAGGAGGAACTGCGTAGGGTACAAGAAGTTAAGAGAAGAGAGGAGCAGGAGGTAAAAAAAACTGAAGTGTGAAGAAGCCTGTGTTCTTAAAATAACACAATCATGATTTTGTAAATCATCCCTTCATATACCTTATTAGCAATAAATTCGTATTTTAGCAAATTATTACTCTGTCATACCTGTCATTCTCAGTTGATCGATAAGTACCATATGAACTATTTGCTGCTACTTTTGCTGGTGTATGTTTAACCCTCAAAAGACAGAAAGAAACTTAAATGTTGATTGTTAACCCTATGAAAACTATTCAGGTAGTTTCCTTTTGTCTAAGGCTCCATTCTCCTATATCACACAGTTGTTGCTGTTTTCTCTAACTTGCTCAGGAGAGCTAATTTGACTTTTTTTTTTATTTTTTTTATGATTATTATTCTGCGATACGTAAATCCTCTTAAACACTCTTCAATATCCTAGCTTTCTTTGTCAGAATAAGATTAACAGCATTGAATATACTATGGCATGTCAAATAACACTGAAATTCTTTCAGCAACGTGAAATCCTTGATGAGATTCAGAGAAGGGAAGAAGAGAAAAGAGAAGAAAGGAAAAAGAAAGAGATTGCCAAACAGGTATTCTTTTAAGCAAGAGGGCAGAACCCATTGCTATAACTTTTTTTTTTTTTTTTTTTTTTCCCTCCCCCTCTCTCTCCTCGGTACTGTGGTACATGCTTGTGAAAGTTGGGGAAAATTACACAACTAAATTGTTCTGGACATCTTTTTCTCATCCAGTGCTTCTAATAAAACTAGATTTAGGAAATGTTCTTTCTTCTTGATTATATGAGAGTTATTTCTGAAAAAAAATCAACTTAGGGCAAATTCGTGTGTCAGCATCTCTTCAGTGAGATGGATATTTTCAAATATACACTAAATAAAGCTGTTGGTGTGTTTCCAGATCTAGTAAAGCAGCCTTATGTTCTTACATGTATACCATGCTGAAATACATTTCTTGAATCTCAGTGCTTCTGCTTCTTCCTCGTATGCATCTTTGTTATGAAAACTTATTTCTACTTTTTGGGTGATATTTCAACTATCATATAAAGTTATCATCCATATATATTGAGAATAGGAGCAGCTTCTTTATTTACTCATTGTTTCTTTCCTGATTTAAAGGAACGTCTGGAAATAGCTTCTCTGACGAGTCAAGAGAATTGCCACAGGAGAGAGACTACAGGGTACAAAGCTGTTCCCAGTTTAAATGGGGGCGGCTGGGAACATGGAGGGAACAATAAACATCGGCCAAATTCAGCTGGACGATCCAAGTATGTATTTTTCTTTCTTCATTAATTTCTTACAAGCATGTGATATGTTGGCAGTGCCAGATAAAATTAATTCTATTTCCACTAACGAAGGATTTAGAATAGTGCACAAAATCGAGACTTATGCTTATCTCAAAGATCTCTTGCAAAGATAGTGTGTTGTAACATTCCCATGCAGAGAACAAGCCTACACTGATCACACAGACAAAGCAGATTCTTGGACTTACCAGACAGTTCTTGTATTGATACATAACTCATTTAAATTAGGATTTCTGGTGGTGTAGGTAGACACTAATGAGGTTTTGAATGATTTATTTTCATTTTCTAAGCACCAGTGGAGTATCTTTGGATGTAAAACAATTAGAAAACTGTCATCTAGTTCATGGTAGTTTCGCTGACTGTCTTAAATTTTACTTGTCTCTGCTTTATGAGGTTGTTTTTCAAGATTAGAAGAAAAGGCGACAGCATAGCTACAAGGGAAAGGCTGGAAAATAAATTGTTTTAGCCAACTGTATGCTCCATTTTGTGCCTGTCACTGTTTTTCAATGTGTTGTTTAGAAGTGACAGTTTCAAGCATTATTCCAGGAAGATGCTTCTTTGAAATACACCATGTATTAACTACTTGTTTCAGCAGCTGTGATTACTATGGCTGACAAATACTTTTGATTATTTTAAACTCTAATCATTTCATTTATAAAATATATTTGAATTTAGAAAGCCAGATGCATTTTTGTGCAATTTTCTTTATACAGCACGTCACAAGTTCAAGTGGCATCTTTTGTACATCTTTTTGTTTTTCCCTTTTTATTTTTTTTGAATAAATTAAATATTTTGAAAGAGCTTCTACAATACCCTACATGTATTCGTGTGATCTCTTCATCTGATTGCATTTATTTGGCAAGTTCACTGTGTAATGCAGGTGTTTTTATTAATTCTGAAGTAGATTATACCCAGAAGTAGCAGAGGTTGGTTTAGGTTAGTGGTCTTGACTTCTTTCTAATCTCATGTGCAGCTTTGTGTGTGCGTGTGAACAGAAACACTCCAGTCATGCTTGTTCTGAAAGTGTTTTCTAAACGCTACACTGCCATGTAGTAAAAAGTATTACATAAGATTATATGAAATACGCAATTGAATAAAACAGCCTCTGTCAGAAATTATAATTCGTATTTCTATCAATGTTACAGATAACAGCTGGAATTTGTTAAAAGGTTTAACTTAGATTAAAAGTTCATCAAATGTCTCCCTTCATGCAGCTCGGAGAGAGAAATCAAGTTAGACGATTTGGTTGGCAGAAGCTTTTGAGTGTGAGTTTCCTGGACTACAGGCCCAGTAGAATTTTAAAAAATACATATTTTTTCTGTTTTCTTTAGGAAATACATAGTGTTCTGGAACTATTTAGGTTTGAAACTTTCCTTTTCTTTTAGTTTAAGCAAAATTTTCATTTTTCTTGAAGAATGAATATAGAAGAGCAAAGGAAGCAAATGGAAAACCCCTATTGAGCCAGGAAAAATAATTAAGCTGAAGCTGGGACTAACTTTATAAATTGCATATATTTACTTTTCTTTTGTAATATTTTGAAAGATAATGCAAATCAGATAAACTTTATTTATTTTTCAGAACCGTAATTTGTTAACTTTTTAAAAAATTGGAAGTGTGAACCTGAACTGCAGTAATCGTATGTCCTGGATTCAATTTTTTGCTGAGAAGGCTGTAAATGTAGGCTCCCAGTGCAATACATTGTTGTTGCTACAATGCTAGCTTTCTAACCAGACTTGCATGTTTGCACTAGCTCAGTATCTTTAGAATCAGTAAATTTGTCATTTGATGGAGAGGTCTTTGAAAGCTGATTCTATTGCTGAAGCAGTGTTTTTGGTTAATGGTTAATTAGCTTTTTGAGTCTGGGAAAAAATGTTCTGTTCCCATTGCAGACGAGAACGGCATCTTTCGCTTGGTAATACTGAAGAGTCCCCTGGAAATTACGAAGTTTTGAACTTTAGTGCCACTGGTGCTGGGCAACTTATTGTCCATAAAGGAAAATGTATAGGTAAGCAGAATAATAGTTGCAGCTGTGGATTGTTTTTTTTTGTTTGCTTTGTTTTTGTTTTTCTCCTTGTTTGTTTGTTGGGAGTTGTAGTGCTTAATAGCAGTGCTTGTCATGCTTAAATAAATGTATATTTATTGTCTTATCCAAGGGAGGCAAGTCACACTTCAAAAATTTAAACAATGTGAGGAGGTACAAAGCAACAAGGCTGGAAGGAAGAGTATTGTGGCATATAAGATGTCCTGGTAAAAAGTGAGAGAGGGTAGTAAAAAGTTATTTTGTGACAATTTTTTTTTTTATTTTCTTAGTTGCCTTGTCCACATACAAGTATTTAACTGAATGAAAATGCTCTACTACAAATCTTTTCACCATTTTTATATTCTATAGATAAATAATCCTGAAAATAATTTGCTTTTAAATTCGAGTAGCTGACTTGTTAGATACACATTGCTACCAGGCAAGAAACCACTGAGCTGTCAGTAACCTGGGAGAAACCAGTGAAAAGCACAGGGCTAGAAACCACCATTGTTGCTGACAGCAATGGGATTAAAGCAGCAGTTTTCTCTAATGCTTAAGTATAGTCAAGGGTAGGAGACTTTCAGAGCTAATTAGGATCTAAAAGGCCTCCCTGACTTGCCGGTGTGAATGAACCATCAAGCGTTTTCATTGGGGTGGGTTTTTTTTGTTGTTGTTTTTGTTTTGTTTTGTTTTTTAGTATAGGTTTTCCTCAGTGGACAAATGGGCAGTCTGAAAGTCTCTAGGGCAAAGAGAATTTTATTATTTTACAATTCAAGGAATATCTGCTATACTACTCTGTGTAGAGTTCAATGTTTGCTCGACAGGAGAAGTGTTAGTTGATGAAACCATTTATGCCAATACACTATTGTTTTCAGGATTTTTCTTTGCCTGCTAGTATTGTGTTTATATAACATTCAATTTTATCAGAGCAGACATTTTGCATACCCTAATTATGAACATAGTTACGTAGTTCGTGTTTCTAGAGTTGCAGGAAAAAAAGGCTTACTGGTCTTTCTTCAGCATTTGCCAGAGTTTTGCCAAGCCCTTGGAGGGAAGGGGGACACAGCTTCTTATTTTAATCTCTGTGCATAGGCAAAGATGAACAGCTTGGTAAATCGGTCTACAATGCCTTGGAAATTCGCAGCGGAGAATTTGTGTTAGTATATGAGTGGGTTCTGCAATGGCAAAAAAAGATGGGAAAGTTTCTTACAACACATGAAATAGAAAAAATTGAGAAGTCTAAGAAACAGGTAATACTTTTTTTTTAATAAGCCTTAGGATGTTTCCTGTGCTGTTCTTGTGGTTGTTAATATATATTGAACTAGAGAGGGTGGTAATGAGACTGAAAATGCCAGTGTTAAGGTACTTCTGTTAAACAGGAAGATGTGTGTGTTGGAATAATCAGGGATTTGTCTACAAGGATATAAATGCGAGAAGGTATATCTGCAAGTATACATAAATGTAACATACACAAAATATATCTAGAATATGTGACAATTTCACTGTTACTTTTCGAGACATTATAGACATGTGACAAGAACTTTTCACTTCTTCAAGATAAGCTTCATGTCCTCTTTCTTCAGAATTTTATTTAATATTTTATTACTTCGTTACATATTTTAATAATGGTATGTTCATGAAACTTGACACTTATTGTGTTTCTCTAACAGCTCCAGGGTGCCGAAACTGAGTTCAGCTCCCTGACGAAGCTCAGTCACCCAAACATAGTACATTATATATGTATGAACCTTAAAGAGCAGGATGATTCAATTGTGGTGGACATTTTAACGGAGCACATAAGTGGGTGCAGCCTTTCGTCGTACTTGTGCAAGGAGACTCCGCTTCCCATTGAGCAGCTGCGCCATTACGTGACCCAAATTTTGTCAGCTCTTGATTACTTGCACAGTAATTCAGTGGTGCACAAAGTTCTTTGTGCTTCCAGTATTTTGGTGGATGCTGAAGGAAATATCAAAGTGACAGATTACAGCATTTCCAAGCGCTTAGCTGACATCTGCAAAGCAGATGTTTTTGAACAAACCAAAGTTCGTTTTAGTGAAGATGCTCTTCCCTACAAACCTGGAAAAAAAGGAGATGTGTGGAGTCTGGGCTTGCTTCTAATCTCTCTCAGCCAGGGCCAAGTAATCAAGGAATATCCAGTTACCGTTCCTAGCAATTTACCTGCTGACTTCCAAGACTTTCTGGAAAAGTACGTGTTTGTTGTGTTCCTATTATCTTTTCCCCCTCGGTTTGTAAAAGACAAGATTTTCTTGAACAGTTTTGCAAAAGAACACTTAGATCCTCCAATGTCTGTAGTCCATAATTTTTAGAGAAGAAGTGCGCACTCCGGGCTCAGGCTGCTAACCTGGGGTTCAAGAGAACAGGTCTGTTGCTGTCTTCTGCTCTGACCTACTGCTAACTTTCTGTCTCTGTGGACAAGTTATTTAATCTTACTTCACCTCTGATTGCTGTCTGAATGATGAAGGTGAAAGTTTCTTAAGTATAAGAAGTATTTGGAATACTTAGGCCTGATTTGGAATAGCTCTTCGAAAAGTTCTCTTGTGATTTCTCTCACAGATGTGTTTGTTTGGAAGATAAGGAAAGATGGAATCCTCAGCAGTTGTTACAACATAGTTTCATAAACCTTCCGCGAATGAAGATCCCAATAGCAGAAGAAAATGGAGATGGTAAGGAACTCTGTTCTTTCTATTTTCTGCAGTATAGGCAGTTGCAGAAGATCTGAACTGTGCTAGAGCATCACATTTCTGTGCTTGTGCAAGTGCTTTACATTAACCTAGAAGTTAGACCATATCACCTTGGAGTTCCTTGGCTTGCTGAGGTGGACTGATTTTGTGGTGTCATCAGTAGCAGAAGCTGATAATTTTTTTAGTTAAACCTGGAAACACCCACTTGTTTCACAGCGTGAATGTCAACCTTTACTTTATCCTTGGGCAGATTCTGTTTCAGTAAGACCTCTTTCCTCATTATGTTCTTGTTAGAATCACTTCCTTTGCCCAGTATAATGTATTAGTAATTGAAAGCTGTGTTAAGGTTTCTGTTTCTATCCAGACTTGACACTACTCAACACAGCGCTTCTATATTTTAGGTTTCAGTTGTCCTTTAAGACAGCTCCTGTTTTCTGGTGTTTGCCTTCTTCCTAATGCTTATTTAACATTTTCTTGTGCTTCACCTCCACCCCATACTGCCAGTGGTGGTAATTTTGATGTCTTTTTTTCAGACTCAGC